TTCAACCCCTGCACATTTTTTAAAAATTGTAGAAAACATTTGAAATTTATGTAGGTGTGATCATTAAAATCTCATCTTTAATTTAAGACCAAAAGAGTTCAAAAGTCTTAATCGGTTAGCGAGATATCATTATAAACGGCAGAGCATTTTCAGCCAAAAACCGTTCAAAATCGACTAATTCACTGCATTTGTCAAAAAACATGCTCGGACGTTTATAATGATATCTCACGAACCCAATAAGATTTTTAAACTCTTTTGGTCTTAAATTAAAGATGAGACTTGAATGATCACACCTATATAAGTTTCAAATTTTTTCTACAATTTTTAAAAAATGTGCAAAGGTTGAAAAAATTTCCAAAAAAATTTTATTTAAAAAATTTTTTTTTTCAAATTTGTCGATTGCTGCAGTCTTTGTATAAATTATTAAAATTTTCAGTTATGTATTATTAATCGTAGAATTTAATTATCTTTGGAATGGTATATTTTTTAATTTTCTGACATTTGTATTTACAAAAAAATCCTGATTTAAAGATTGGTAGGTTTTTGGGCCGTGCGCGTACAGCCGTACTGATAATTCCCGACGGTAGTGTATATAAAAAATTTAAATTTTTTTCGAAGCGTAATTTAATAACACGGTCACAGCTCAAATCAACAAGGGTAAATTGATAGTATGAAGCAGCTTATAAACAATTGACATTGTAAGGCAATTTTTAAATAATTATTTCTTATATTTATTGAAGCCAAACTTTACTTACTATTAGTGATTTTAAAACAAAAATTTCTCAACTTTATAATGGTAAAAAAATTTTTTTTTAAATAATATAATTTATGAAAAAAATTAAGTTTGAAAGATAACCTTTTTGAATATCTCAAAAAACGTCGCATCCGATTTTCTTGAAACTTATGTCATAATGAAGCTTAAATATTCTAGTTTAATTCCTTGTAAACATTATAATGAGCATTTCATGGTTTGAGAAATTAATTAAATTTTACAATAATTTCGAAGGTTATAATGTATGTACCGAGCACCGAACAATATTTAATTACGTAAATAATGTTATTAATAAACATTTTAATACGTTTTTAAATTCTTTGTGATTATCCGGGAAAATTATATTCAAAAACCCGGGAAAAAACCGGGAATTTTAAATTGCCGAATCGCTAGACACCCTGTAAACAACAAAATCGCATAAATTCTGCCCATAAAATCAATTATTCTAAGAAATTTTAATAAAATTCTTAAAATTCATCACAAGAATTCAATTCTTTTGAAAAGTAATAAAATACTTTGCAGAAATTAAATTATTTTCAAATTTTTTTGAAAATTCTCGTCAAGAATTAAATTATCTTTATAAATAAATACGGAAATTCTTCTCAAGAATTATTGTCAAAAATTTATTAAAAATTCTCCTCAAGAAGTCAATTATTTTCAAAAATTTTAATTAAATTCTTCTCATGAATTCAATTGTTTTCAAAAATTGTTATAAAATTCTTTAATATTATAATAAATTTCATTAAAATTTTAATTAAATTCCTTAAAAGAAATTAAATATTTTCAAAAGCTGTTAATACAATTCTTCGTAAAAATTAAATTTTAAGAAACATTCAATATTATTTATTTTTGTATTTAAATAATTGATTTCTCGTAGAATTAAATTATTGTTTTTCGTACTTTTAACTAACAATTCTGTAGAATTAAATTTAAATAATAATAATTGATGTTATTATGATTTATAGTAGATTTTTAGTTAAAAATTCTAGAAAATGTTAATTAAATTGAAATGATAAAAATAATTTTGAAGAAATTACACACGGAGAAAAAAATGCTGTTGAATCAATGACATATGGGTTTGATTCATTGAATAGTGTCATAACGGGCTGCCTAACGTATATGCTGTTGTTTTGAAAGCACCGATTCTAATGATTCGATAGTATCACTTTCTTTGAAACAAAAGCATATTTCTCAAATTGACAGCATACTATGTTAATTCGAAGGTGAATCCTTTTGAATCAATAAACAAAATTTTTTAATTTAACAGTATATGCTTTTGAGTCAATGACTATAACTTTTAAATTTAAAAGCATCATTTTTATGATTCAAAAATTTGTACTCTTAATTTTTTTAGTTGTTGCTATCGATTGAATAACACCATACTGTTAATTCAATTCTTTTATGTGGTTAAATATATACCAACGATAAATTGAAAAAAGGGAATTTTTGTTCACATGTTTTTTATATACTATAATTAATTCTCACACCTTTAACACAACACTTTTTATACACATCTTTTTTTCAATTTTTCACACTAACATATACATCTTTATTATTATTTTCATTTTTCCCAACGGCTAAACACACACACACACACATACACATTCAAACACACTTATATTTTTTAGTCAGAAAAATACGGCTATTCCCAAGCGGTCACCCATCCATTTAGTAACCGCGACCAACGACGCTTAACTTCCGTGATAGACGAGAACCGCCGCGCTGCAATGTAATACATCCGCTTCTCAACGTTGGGCACTTACTTTGTGGTTAAATACCGTGCTCGAGATTTTTCGCGTATATAAGGGAATTTATATAGGGAATTTATATTTAACTAGTCATTAATTAATTAAAAGAATTTAAATAATACTTTTTTATATTGGAATCTCAAAAACGACAGGTTTAATAAACATATAAATATATGTGGGTAAGTATTTCAATAAATTTAGTACCTGTCAATGTCTCAAAACATAGTGTTCTTATTTTTATAGCATATGCTATAGGCAGTCCGCAATAGCACCACTCATTGAAACGAAAGCATATGCTTTCGTTTTCAGAGCGCCCTTCTTTGGAGCAAACAATTTTTCATTTGATTTAAATTTACATGCATTTTCTTCAAATTTATCTATTAGATGCTTCAAATGAATAATGTCAAAGAAGCAATAAATTATTCTGTTGCTATATATAGATGAACTATAGAAACAATTTGCACAATATAATTAATTCTACAGTACCGTACTTTTAATTTAAACAGTTTCATTTTTTCATTTTAAGCAATATACTTTTCGATTAATAAATGTGTCATTGAATCAATGACGGGGAATTCAATAGCATGGAGATATTTGATTCAACAGCACTTTTTTTTCAGTGCAGTAACAATATTCTTATAATAATAAAATAATGATTTTGTCAGTCGGTCATCTTTAATTATTATAAAACATAAAGATATCAATCACTCCGAGTCTTCGACTCGGAATATTTATTCTAAATAATAAAACTATTGATGTTTTCGAATAATTTTACTTTTGAAGAAATTTGTAAATAAATTTAATAAAACATTTTGTTGAGTATCTAATAATTTCTAGAGTGAATCAGAATATTCTTTAGGGTCAGGGAAAAAGTGAAAGTTGTGTTTGGAAATCAGGGAAAAATAGAGTTAAATTTTTGTGGCAACCCTGTACCTACACTGAAAAAATGTTGAGTACCGTGCAATCCCAATCGTCGGAAAGTGGAGGAACTATAGTTTGGATGTGCTGCGTTCTCAATTCGGGAAATCTACGTTCCCATGTCGGTGGCGCTGAACACCTAAAATTTGAGACCCAAACCTTGAGACTGCAATAGCCACATCTTGGGCGCTCAGCACGCCCGAGTTGGAAATGCAGCTCCTCCAAACTAAAGTCGTATCGCATTCGTAAATTTTCGGTCTACTTCGAACGGCTCGTCACCCAAACTTTTTTTCCGTGTATAAATAAATTATATTTTTATCTTTATTTAACCAATTTTCATGGTCCCCTAAAAGTCCCCTATTTTCCCTAAAATACTTTTTAGGATCACTGTGAAGCCTGGGCACAGTATTTTTCAGAAAGTTTTCAAAGTGAAGTTTGGAAATTTTTTTTTTTATTTTTAACATAAAATTAAAATAGGTATAATTGCACCCAGAGTTTGAATTTCAGTAAAGTTTCGTAAAACAATAATTGCCTTTTTTAAAAGAATAAATTTGTTTATAAATCATAAATAATGAGGAAGCAAATTGTTTAATTTCTTGGAGCATATAAATTTGAGATAAAATAGACTTTGTTTAACGTATGTGCATCAAAGTTGAAAGGGGGTTGAGTCAGTAGGCTCTAACTGATTAAACGTCAAGGGAAACTGTGCGCTGTTGAGAAAAGTTGAGGTTGAGTTGCTGGATTTTCAATCCAGAGAAACTTGCTGTCTAAATGACGAACGGAAGTCTAAGTTCGGAAAGACAACTTTCAAGAGGATACTATCGATGCCAAATCTCCTTTAACTTTTTTCAAACTAAAACAGAAGAAAAGTTGTCGTGAAATTTTCGCCGCATCTTACTATTTTATCGGGTATCATTCAATTTTTATTGAATTTAAACTCTCTTTCTTTCTCTCTCAATATTCATTTCAATTTTCATTAAAAAATTATTCAATTGACACTTGAAAAACTTGATGGTATATTCGAAAATGAATTTTTGTTCTTTAGTATTTTGACTCTACTTCTGAAATATTTGTTTTTTCCAATTTTCAGTCTTACAAAATTTTGAATAATTTAATAAAATAAATTGACTACTCGATTGAAGAATGCTTGCAGAGATCTAAGAGGAGTAACAATGAAAACATTCAATAAATACTTGTTCATTAGAACGTGCCAATTGCCTGACTGAACTAATTGGCACTTGAATTACGATCGATGTCTCATTGTTCAGGAAAAGTCCTGTATTGTTTGACGAATTTAGGCTGCGGTCAGGACAAATTGATCTAGCGTCTGTAGTGTGATTTTGTCAGGGACACTAAGTTTTTTCCTCAATTGACTTTTCTCTTCTTACTAAGTAAACACTTGACCCTCCTATGATTTCTCGTTTCTTTCATCAAGATTCTTTTTTTTCCAAATTGTTTTCCAATTTTCTTCTTCTTATTATAAAATATATAAACATTCCTACATATATTTTTAACGATAAATATTTTTCTTGAAAGAAAACAAATAAATTGTATTGTTTCAGATTCCGGATTGGATCACTCTCTAAGATATAGATTTTTTCTTTTCTGAAAAGCTCCCAGGACACATGGGCAGGATCAACGATGAATATTTACCGAGAAACTTGAGAAGACGATTTACAAGTCGCTCGTGCAATGATGGATTTTTATACGTCACCTAGGTAGAAGATATAAAAAAAGATAAGAAAGAAAATAGAAAGTAAGAAATAAGGATATTGGCCAAACTCCAAGATGAATACTTCATATCTTTTGGGAGAAGATGAAGATTGGGGACAACGATATTATTTTACCTACTATAGTGAATTTGGTGATAGGAAAGGTACCAGTGGTGTGGAGGTGAGAAATTGAAGGGCTACATAAAATAAGGGGACGAACGCGAGGCTTGGAAGGGATACTACCAGTCGGGTAGCAGTGACAAGCCTTGAGCCGCTCGGCTCGCTGCTACCTGACTGATATTATCCCTTTCAACCACGCGTTCGTCCCCTTATTTTCTGTAGCCCTTCAATTTACTTTTTTCTATCACTATTTCTTCTCAATTTCAAAATCGAGAATCAAAGTAAATCTTAATCGGTTTAATCGATATTAAGCGAATGATAGGTGAGGTGGAAAAATAGTATGATAATATTTTTAGAAAGAGTTTTAAAAATAGTTTTAAGAGTTAAGGTCCATTCAAAGGGATGTTGTTTTGTTATGAGGACCTCTTTTCATTCCCTTGGTATTAAACTTTACTCATGAAACAAGATTGCACATCTAGGCTTGTTTTATTCATCCTTTGGCACTAAAGTAATTGGTTTTCGGTTTTAGATTTTGGTCCTCGCTGTTACGTTCGTGATTGCAGTAGCCACTAATTTGGGAATGGCTACATGCGTCCTGAGGTACAAGGAAATGAGAACACCAACGAACTTATGCTTGGTGAATCTTGCAGCTGCGGATCTACTCTTTGCTTTGGGCGTTCCTGCGGTCGCATACACGAGATTAACGCAGTCCTGGAAATTAGGCGATGCAGTCTGTAGATTAATTCCCTATTCTCAAGTATGTACATTTATCCATCAAATTTTTCTAATTTATCATTTTACTTTAATTTCAATAGAAATTGTTTTTTAATAATAATAAAAATTCACATTTTTTATCTTATTTATTTATTTTACAAGTTCAACGGGTGATTACATAAACAAAAATAGAAAAAAAATAATAGTGTAAGAAAATATATATATAAAAAATACATCAAGTTGTCAAGCAGAATCATGACAAATTCAACTGTCTTTTAAGAGCAGAGGGAGAAGAGCCAAAAAAATAATCTACATTTCAGGGCTCGAACTAAGTAGGTCCGTAAATTTGCTTCAAGTCCGTAAAAGTCCGTTTTTTTAAAATGATCCGTAAAATCCGTAATTTGAAAGAAAAAGGACAAAAAGTTCGTAAATTGTACGATATAATTTGGAGAATTTTAGAGAAATTTATTACAAATGATTGTAGAAATTTAATTATTTTTAAAAGTAATAAAATTATAGACCGACAGATTAGCTCAGTCGGATAAATGCCTCGCTCGGCGGACGCTTAGGACCAAGGGTACTTGGTTCGCGCCCATTAGCCTGGGATTTTTCCGGCACGTGAGATAATCTGAGCGGGAGATTTGAACGTCGAGGACTTGGTTGTGTAATATTCGAGACTTCGAATTTATACATCCAAGACTCGGCGTCGATAAATCGGCTGTACTCAGTTAAGGTTTTCCGTAGTTTCCCTTGACTATGGCTAGAGAGGGCCATGTGAATACGAGTACTTCTAATAAAAGCCGGCTACGGACCGCAAATAGGGGGTATTTGGGAATCTGGGGAAAATTGGAGAATATAGCAAGGGGTTGTCATATATGTAAAAACCCAAATAGGGTATACATGAAGAACAATAAAAAAAAAAAAAAAAAAGTAATAAAATTATTAGCAGAAATTCAATTATTTTCACAACTTTAAATAAAATTCTTGAACAAAATTTCAATTATTTTCCCAAATTTTCCTCAATTCAATGATTTTTAATAATTGCTATTTTAATCAAATTTTCTAAAAGAATTCAATTATTTAAAAAAATTTTTAATAATATTTAAAGCAAATATTTACCTAATTATTTCCATAAAATAATAAAAATTTCACAGGTATTCAATTATTTACAAATGTTTTATAGATTTCTTCTAAATAATTCAATTATTCTCATAAATAATAAAATTTTTACAGGGATTCAATTATTTTCGTAAAAAAAATTCTTTTTTGGAATTCAATTACATATTTTTATAAATAATAAAACTCAATGCTGAATTTTAATACAATTTTAATGGAATTCCTCAAAAAAATTTGTTGATAAAATTCTTTATGAAAATTCAATTATTCAATAAATTAGTTTTTTATTTAAATAATTGAATTAAAAATAAATTTCAATTCAAATTTTAGATAAAAATTGAATATTAAAAGCATCATAGTGTGAATTTTTAGAAATAATTGAATTTTGAAAAAGTTTCACATTAAAATCTTTGAAAATTTTAATTTCTCATACTTTTATCTAACAATTCTGTAGAAGAATAAATATTTTTGAAAAAGTTTGTTTCAATTTTAATTAAAATTATTTTTTTGACATTTTTTTTTCTAATACATATATTGAATTTTGAAGAATTTCCGAATAATTGAAAGTAAAATATTAAAAACTGAATTTGAAAAATTTTCAAACAACTTTTTCAAAAATTGTTAAAAATAATGGATTTATAGAAGAATTTTTGTTAAAAACACTAAAAAAAGAAATTTTATTTTGGAGAAATTACAAATTATTGCAGAAATTCAATTATATTTTTGTATTTAAATAAATTAATTCTAGTAGAATTTTCTAATAAAAATTGATTTAAAAATAAATTAATTAAAATTTTAGATAATAATTAAATATTAAAAGCAATATATAGTGAATTTTTAGAAATAATTGGTTATTGAAATTAATTTTTTTGAAAAAGTTTAATTAAATTTTCTTCTGTATTATTTTAAGTTTTTATTTTCTAATATAAATATATTTAATTGGAGAATTTACGAATAATTGAATATTGTAAAGAAATGAATTTGAAAATTGTCATAGAACTTTTTGGAAAATTAATAAAAATAATTAATTTAGAAGAATTTTAGTTACAAATTCTTGGAAATAATAATTGAATTGAAATGATGAAAATAATTTTGAAGGAGTTACAGTAATAATATTCTTATAGTAGGTATAAAATAATGATTTTATCACTGGGTCATCTTTAATTATTATAAAACATGAAGATATCGATTACTCCGATATCTTCATGTTTTATAGTTATAAAAAATTTAATTTATAGTTTTAAGTAAAATGTTCTCTTATTTGACTCGGGCTGGTTATATTTTTGTTTTTATAACAATTAAAGATGACCGAGTGATGAAATCATCATTATTTATTTCTTTTCTTAATTTGTAAATTTTATCATGAATACCTATTAATTTTTATTTTTGTTGTAGTTATAATGGTTATTAATATTTCCAAGATTTCAGATCATTAAATGATTGTTGCCTCAATTTTTCTGTTGGAAAAGTTCTCGATTTCCAGTGAAGAGTTTATGTCAAATGAAAAGCGAGAAGAGGGTGATTTAAATTCTAAATGACTGGCCTCAGTCAATGCAATATGCCTCTGATTAGTTTCACAATTAAGGATTGAATTGAACAGAGCGACAAAGTTTAATTGCGTTCCTACTTGAATTTTATTGTTATCGTGTGACGTAGAAGATATGGATAATTTGGATACTAAAGAAATTCTATTACCTCAAGAATAAAAATTAAATTATTATAATTATTATACATAAAATATTAATAATAATAATAATTTAAAAAAACTTTTTTCATTCTTAATTTCAGTGATGAAGAAAATAAGACATTGTGTTTAATTTGTTTTATTCAATTGAATAAATTAATATTTTATTATACTTTTCAAATAGTAAATTTTCCAAGAGGATTCTTTTGACTTGCACTTGTGTGATACAACATTTGCATCTGAGTTTCTCCACCAAACACTATTTTACCCAGCTTTCAAGTATCTCACGCTTCTTATAGCAAACAGACTATTCTGACAAAATTGAAACATACACGTTTATTTTAGAATTCTTTCCAATTCAATATTATGTAACATTTTTTTTTTATCCAAAAATATATAATAAATTTATATTTTAGAAGAAATGAATTTTTTCTATTTTCTAGTTCACAGATCCTAATTTTTTTAAAATATTAGTTATTTCATGAGCGTGTAACAAAAGGAAATTGAATTTTTCTCTCTTGTCCACTTTTTCAAAAAATTAATCAACTTTTCGATAATTAGTTGTAACGATTAATTTTGATTAAGTAAAATGAATTATATGTTTGATTATAAATAAGAAAATAATAAATTTATATGAAATTAAAATATGAGAATATAATGATAACGGTTTATAAAAATATAAATAACACGAGCCAATTATGATCTTGGAGATTTAATGTCTTTAAAAATCAGATAATATTTATACAATTTTGTCTATATAAAATAAATTTCAATTCGCGTGTCGCGCAACACACATACTGTTCATACACATACAATTCAAGAAAAAATGAATATATAAATTATATCAAATAAAGTTCGTGTTGGTGATTGATTATAAAGATCGAATCACAATTCATAAAATAAATTGTTTAAGACATAAAAAATAGACAAAAAGAGACAACAAATAGAAAACAATAAAAAACAAATCAATAACTTATCCAGTCGGTGGATCGTGAAGAGTAGAAATTTGGATTACAGCGTGGCTCCAAGTTAAGTCCCACGTGGTGTAGGCACTATCGGATTGCTCTCGTCAAATGTAGTTATTTCGGCAAAAACGATTAATGTTTGCAAAGGTTCCTTTCGTCAGGGCCCAATAATCAGGAACACCTCGAAATTGATTCCCACAGGAGAACTCCGACTCCCGACTCTATAGACCACGCCGTCCTCAATTCCCTCAAGGCCACAATTTTAGCGCCACACTTTTAATTTAATTAATAAAAATTTACAAATTATAAACTTTGAAACAAAGAAGCGAAGGGAAAACAAAATTTTGAATCTACTTTAAAAATAAAAAACTAAAAATATTAAACAATTTAAATTCAAACAAAAAATACCTTTGTGCTGTCGGCGACTCGCAAAATGTGGCTCTAATTATTAATCCACCGGACCATGGAAAGTGAGGACGACGCGATCGCGGAAATTAGTTTTATTACCCCCGTAACGCGATACCCCACCATTAGGGAAATTCTCCCTACTGTCCAGCAGTGCCCACACCTCGCCGACCCTTTAGGCTCTCTTTTCAAGAAATGTGCGTGAAACTCATTGAAAAGAAACCCAGAAACACAAGACTTATTCTCATAAATTCGATTATATTATCGCGCAAAATTCAAATACCCGTTTATCCCTTCATAGTATTTAATTTTCTATATTCTTTTTATGATTAAACTTTGTCGCTGTGTTCAATTCAGTTCTTGTGAATAGGGATAATGATGTTCGAGGAGAAACCCAAACGCGAATCTTATTGACTTAAGACCACCTACTCATTTAACTTGAAATTGGTAAGCGACGTCGTGAGAAATACAAGTTTCTTTCGAACAAAAGTGGAATAAAATAACAAAAAATGAGAGTTCCATCGATTTATCGAGTACGTTTTGATATTAACATTTCTTTGGAAGAAAAATTGATAGAAGGAATTACTTTCTTTTTTGAAATGAAATGAAATGAAATTCTCTCTGAATATTTTAGTAAAATTATTTGTTTAGAATATGAAAGTATTATATTGAAAATTTTAGAATTTGTCTGGAAGGAGTATTTCTGATAAAAGAGAAAAATGATTGAAAATTTGTTTTGATTACAGTTTGTTTGTGGTTTCGTTTTGCTGTGGACCTTGACATTAATATCAATGGATAGACACAGGTGTTTGGCTGTTGCACCTTATCGAAGCGCCCTGACTGTTCCTCGTGTGCTAGCAGCCGGTCTCACTACGTGGATAATAGCGGCTCTCGTTTTTCTACCTGCAGTCTTTTGGTTTAAATCAAAGGCATGTATTTCATTTCTAAATTTTATTAAGTCTTTTTGGTAAATATTCATTTCTTCATTCTTCAGGAATAATTTATTAATTATTTGTAAAAATGGACTTTTTTAGATTGTGAAAGGAGGTATAACGATATGTACTCTTGTTTTTCCAAGAAGCGAAATAATAAATGTCTCTTTGTGCTTCACAATTCCGATTATTATAATTGCCTGTTTGTTGCCAATGGGACTTTTGGTTTATCACTATCAGAGAATTTTTCAAAGTATCCTGGACACCAGAAATAGATGGGCTGTCCCATGTGTTGCACAGGTAAAAAAGCTTCCCACGCATTCATTTTACACAATTAATAGGTAGTCGTAAACAACTTGATTAATTTTTAAATGAGAACATGAAAAGAATATTCAATTTAAGCGAAAATGTGTAAAATTAAGTAAGAATTAAAAACAGGAGGGAACCGGAAGGCGTGACTCGGAGCTTTCAGTGGTTGGGACACTGGTGCCATGGGCAGGAAGGAAACTATCCTCCTCTTCAGTGACAGGACGTCAGGGTCGTGCCGGAAGTCTGTCGCAACATGAGGAAATTCGTCTACACAAACATTTACGCGTTGTGCGAATTTTGCTGCTAAATGTTGTTGCTGTTCTTGTTATGTGGTTACCAATAACAACTGTCATGTTTCTAATTTACCTCGATGGCAGTCGACCAACAGAGGATACAAATTTCTTTTTGAGATCTCATCATTTCATTTGGACCTTAGTGATTGCTCAATTTAATACTGTCGTGAATCCTTTACTTTACGGTGTGTTTTCTGAAAATATTCGTGCATGCTTCGTCAAGTTCCTTCAACGTAACGATACAGCGAATGGAAGTGGTGGTGGTGGTGGTAACAGTAACACGAGAAAAGGCGTCAAATCATTAGAGGTCTTACAAGATCGATTAGGTGGCGGGCCTAGAACTCCTAGAAGTTCATCGAGACCACCTAAAAAAAGTTCAAGTTGCAGTATTGGCAGTATCATTGAAGTTCCGAGTTCGGAGAAAATGTGAAACAGGAAGAAAATTTAGGTCTATTAACAAATTTTTATTTTTTAATATTCTCAGGCATCACTGTACCTTTTTTCCTCAAAAAGGGGACAAAACGGGAACAAAAATTTATTTCTTTATACAACTTGCATAACTTGCATATGGGGCATTCCAGGCCAAATCGGAAATTATTTTGCTTTTGCATCTCAAATTTTTTTTAAACATTTTTTTTCTTTTAGTTCTCTTTGAAATGAGTTACCTTGATTTTTTCAAATTTTTTCATTAAGCGGTTCAGGAGATACAGATTCTTGAAAAATGACGTTTTTTACGTAAATTTTTGTTTTAAATGCTTATAACTCGGTCAAAAATTGATCAAATTGGACGTTTTTATAATGAAAAGTTTTGTTTTCACGCGTAGTTTTCAATAAAAGTATTTTAAATAATTTACGATAAGATTTTAAAATTTTTTAAATAAAATTTCATTTTTAACAATGTATGTATCAAACAATTTGTTTTAATAATTTTTTGTAAGAAACTAGCACTAAATTAACAATTTTTAAGCCTTGTCCGATCGTAGGCAAACGATGGGATCTATTTATTTAAAAATTTTTAATTTTTATATACGCAGTGGTGGCCAAATGACCAACTTGCCATTTGACAAAATCACACAAATTTTTCACAGCAAATGTGTTTTCAGACTGAGTCTCTCCAAACTTAACCTTCATTCTGTGTAAGATTGTGGTTTGGTCAAATGACAAGTTAGGCCTACCGTTTTCACTGTGTATATAAAAATTAAAAATTTTTAAATACACTGGAATCTAGATCGGTGAGACTAATCGGGGATGGCTTCTCACCGATCTAGCGGATTAGTTGAGACTGAGAAGCAACACAAACAGGGCCGTACGAAGTATTTTTTGTTTGCACCTTTCTTTTAAAAAATAATCCATGTTAGAAAATTAATATAAATAACAAAATATTATAAAATATTATACAAAAATAAAATGTATTTATATTAAAAAGAAAAAAAAGTAAATAATGATGAAGTTATCAAATGAAATAAATAGCATCGGGCACTGAGAACCTTTTTCTTCTACAATTAGGCACGACATTGATCGACATTTGAAAGTCCCCGCTAGCCCTCCACCTTTCCTCGCCTACAAACTATGTAAACAGAGTCTCAACGATCCCGAGCTCACCCGTCTAGATTCCAGTGTAAATAGATCCCATCGTTTGCCCACGATCGGACAAGGCTTAAAAATTGTTAATTTAGTGCTAGTTTCTTACAAAAAATTTTTAAAAAAATTGATCGATACATACATTGTTAAAAATAAAATTTTATTTTAAAAATTTTAAAATCTTATCGTAAATTATTTAAAATACTTTTATTGAAAACTACGCGTGAAAACAAAACTTTTCATTATAAAAACGTCCAATTTGATCAATTTTTGACCGAGTTATAAGCATTTAAAACAAAAATTTACGTAAAAAACGTCATTTTTCAAGAATCTGTATCACCTGAACCGCTTCATGAAAAAATTTGAAAAAAATCAAGGTAGCTCATTTCAAAGAGTACTAAAAGAAAAAAAATTTGAGATGCAAAAGCAAAAAAATTTCCGATTTGGCCTGGAATGCCCCATATATAATTCAAATTTTTTATCATATAGCTTCCATAACATTTTTTAAAAATTATCCGATTTTAATCAGAGTTGTCACAAAAATTTTAATTTCTTTTTCCCTGACTTTTCTCTGATTTCAAGACAAAATTTCGACTTTTTCTCTAAAGAATATTCTGCGATTCACTCTAAAAATGATTAGCTACTCAAATAAATGTTCTATTACATTTATTTACTAATTTCTTTAAAACTGTTAAATTATTCGAAAACAGCGATAACTTATTTTTTTTAAAAATATTTAATCATTATTATTTTTCCATAGGAATTAAGATTTTTAAAACATTCAAATTCAAATCTTTTTTAAATTCAACAATTTATGAGAATATTATTAAAACATGAAGAAAGTGATCACTTTGTTCATGTTTTATAATAATTAAAGATGACCGAGTGATAAGATCATTATCCAATTTTTAGTTCTACTCATTTTTACTTTTAAGGGAGAGTAGGCTACATTGAACCAGGTTTTTTATAAAGTCCAAGAACTAATTAAATTTTACAAATTTTGATCAGGTTTTTATATCAAAATAAAACTGAAGTACTTCTTTAGTTAATACACACGTTACAAACAAAAATATTATGATTGAATAATTTAATTTAATTTTTTTCTAACCAGTTACACTTTTTTTATTTTGACGGAAGCGTGTCTACATTGAACCACCTCTAATAAAACACTACAATTTACTTCGAAAATAATATTTCCACTTACGCATAGTAAGAAATCATATTTTCTACTCAAAAAAATAGAAAATTGTTGTAAAATAGTTATTATTTGTTAATACAGGAGATTAATATATTTCGATGTCAGGTTATTAGGTAGCAAAAGTGACAGTTTAAGTTTGTCACGTTGACAATTGTGATGAAAGCATGTCTTCCAGTATTTTTCTTACTAGTTAGTAGAGCAGACAACTCTACCACTCTTAAAATTGAAAATTCTTTGCTTCTTCGGGTGGTTCAATGATGCCGCACTCACTGTATACACATGCCATTCACAACAAAAATTGTTTATAATAAATTTATGTAAGATTTAAAATTCTTTATCACATCGGAATATTGAAGTTCACACCCTAAGCAAAATAAATCACAAGTTTACTAATTTTTAAAACTTCCTATAGGTTCAGAATTTCTCAAACGGATCACCTAAAACTAAAAAATTTTCTTTTTGAACCAAAATAGTTTTTTTTACTCTTAATATGGTTAGGAAGAAACCCTGCAAATACTAAGCCAAAAAAAAATTTTTTGTAAAAGTTATTAACAATTAGATTTTTTAGTACTGCTAAATTATCAAATTTTTTTCTCGAGTTCTAGTTGACGGATTTTAAAATTAAAATATGGGTTTTTTTCGTCTTGAATTGCACTATTTGAATATATTTTTTGTTTTTAAATTGTTTTATTTTTTATAATTTTTTATATAATTTGTTTATAAAATGTTAATAAACAAATATGTTCTTCACGTCCTAACAAAAAAATTAAAATTGTATTCTATTCCTTAAATGTCTCCGAGTGTAAAACCGTTTCGAAAAAAAATCATAAAAAAATGAGCCTCAATTAGAAAAAAAGTTATTAATTAAAAACTGCAGCCGTGTAGGGCTTTATATAATTATGACGTTAAACTCGCCCCGCGCGCATTGGCATTTTTTCAAAATTGTCTGTAACCTACAAATTTTATCGGATTTTCATGGGCTTGGTCTTAAATTAAAGGGGATAAAATTTCTAAGAGATCCCACTAAACCAATTTTTGAATTTTGAATTGTTTATATTTTTTTGTTACTTAAAGTTAACAATTTACAATATTTTTAGAAAAAATCATGTTTACTTTTTTATTTTTTCATTGCAGATGATTGGAATCAATTTTAATTAGTCCAGCATGACCACCAGACAAATAATAATGTATAATACAATTTATTTAAATTGTTGCAAACAATGTTAATTAACAAATAGATAACTTTGGTTCTTTTTTATAAACAAAATTTGTTTTCAGATATATTTATATTTATTTAAGTAATCTATGTCTATTTTGATAAAAAATTATTTTAAATTTAATAATTACTATTGTTATTAACAATCATAAGGACAATAATCTACACTGGAATCTAGACGGGTGAGCTCGGGATCGTTGAGACTCTGTTTACATAGTTTGTAGGCGAGGAAAGGTGGAGGGCTAGCGGGGACTTTCAAATGTCGATCAATGTCGTGCCTAATTGTAGAAGAAAAAGGTTCTCAGTGCCCGATGCTATTTATTTCATTTGATAACTTCATCATTATTTACTTTTTTTTCTTTTTAATATAAATACATTTTATTTTTGTATAATATTTTATAATATTTTGTTATTTATATTAATTTTCTAACATGGATTATTTTTTAAAAGAAAGGTGCAAACAAAAAATACTTCGTACGGCCCTGTTTGTGTTGCTTCTCAGTCTCAACTAATCCGCTAGATCGGTGAGAAGCCATCCCCGATTAGTCTCACCGATCTAGATTCCAGTGTAGTTATCAATAATCAAGTAGAGCTTTACATGACTTTAAACTTGTTAAAATACGAAAAATAATTTTTCTTTTTGCAGAAATAAGCCATTTATTTGTTTAAAAAGTGAATAATTTGTTTACAACAAATGTAATTGTTTATGCTAAGAAATTTTTAAAGTTTTTGAAAGAATGTATATATTATATAGACATTTTTTGTATAAAAAATGCCTAAAATGTTTACAAATGTCAAAGAAACTAGATTATTGTTCATATAATTGTTAATAACAATAGTAATAATTAAATTCAAAATAAATTTTTACCAAAATCGACATAGGGGTCGTCCATATACCACGTGGACACTTTTTAGACACTTTTTGACCCCCCCTCCCCCCCCTCGTGGACAATCGTGGATTTTTGACGAACCCCTCCCTCCCCCCCCTGATTGTCCACGTGGACAATCGGGTTTTTTATTTTAAAATAGTGAATAATAAAAAGATATTTAATAAGAAATACAATTAAAAAATTCTTTAAATTTTTTTATAACAAACTTCTTTAAAATTCAATAAAGATTAAATTATCTTAAAATATTATTAAATAGGTAAATACCATTTTTAGTATTATAGAGAGGACTTTGGCAGCAATATATCTTCAATTATTATATTAGTAGAAATACTCAATCTCTTCTGTAACAAATCTAAAAATTTTCTAAAATCCAATAGCTTTGAGCCTTCACATAAACAATAATAGAAATTATTTTTTTTAGAATTTGTAAGAGTTTGTAGAGGTTGCTTTGTATTCCTAATTGTCAAATTTGCATATATTCATATTTGTGCATTTACGATAATGATTTTGTAATATAAATTAAAAAAGAATTTGGCGTTTTTTTGACAGTTAAATAAATTTCG